AAAAAAAAAAAAAAAAAGTTCATAACTTCACTTTATATATATTAGAGTAAACTGTAAAAATGGTTTATATGGTTAGCTGAAAATTATCACTTTGATATAAAAATATTTGGACAAGCACCACCGGTCCAAACTTTTCATTTTGTGGCGAATTTGTTCATATTTGTTATGATTTTGTTTAAAATGACGGTTTCACCCTCTGTATTTTCATTTTCTATTCTTTCTCTTTTTCTTTTTTATTTTTTTATTTATAAGAAAAAAAATATTACCCCCACCCCAAACCCTCTTTCTCTCTTACACATACACACACACAATGCAACACACTACCACCACCGATTAACTTCGTCGCCGCCACAACCATTGGTCGTCGCTGTCGACACACAACGATCGTCAAAGCACCAACATCTCATTGAAGCAACATCTTTAAGCCATCTATTGTTCGGAGAAAAAAATCAAGGGTTTCCAATGTCTTCTCGTCATTTATTCCTTGCTGAACTAAGGTTTTCTAAAACTGCCACGATGGAGATCTGGATATATTGGCCATCCAACGAGAAAAAGAGAGAAAAGGGTGACAACAAATCTGAAAGCTAGGTTTCAAAAAACTAGAAGGGGGGCGTAGGGATTTTGCAAACGTTGGCACCTCATAGGAGAAAGAGAGAGACAAGCGGTGTATCACCACTCCGTCAATGAGGTTGAGTTCAGCGTCGTCATCATTTTTTTAATCTACTTCATCAGCGTCGTCATCTTTTGCATATTCTCATTTTGTATATGATCATCTCACAATTGTTATTATTGTTTTCAATTCAAAATATTAACACTTAATAATTTAAAAGAAGTTGCATATTTGTAAAATTGTTTATAAATAGTTTAAGGTAGAAGAACTCAAATCCAACAGATACACTACAAATATCTACATAGGTAGCCATATCAAAATTTAGAAGTATTAATTACAATATATTGATTAATAAAATGTAATATGACATGTTTTGCTTTATCACACTATGGTATGTTTCCAAAAAACCACATGAATAAAGTAATGAAAAAGATCAACACACATGTTGGTAACTCAAATACCCTTACACAAGGCATACACACATAGCACACGCTTACACACTAATAAATGTGGTAGCAGACTTAATCATAATCTTGATATGACCCTAGTTGAGGACCCAAACTCGATTCAAGAAAATATATATAAGAAATGTCCGCTTACAAGTTAAGAATGATAAGCAAAAAACTGATAATTTAATGACTTTACCCTAGTTGAGGACCCAACCACCCCACCCCCACTGGTAGCGTAAGCCTTCTCGTTCTTCTGGTGCTCATCCTAATCTCTCACATTCAGTTCCATAAATTGACTTTACCGCCGATTGCTTCTCCTTGATCCGTCTTCTTTACTACTAGTGCATCTCCTCTATACTTCGTCTTTACGATCGACCTATATCATCTTCTTCGTCCATCTCCACCGGTCAGATGCGTCATTAAAATTTCTCCATCTTCATCACAAACTTAAAACCATCAAAAAAATCGAAGATTGGAAATCAAGACTCATCTGCAAAACTAATCCATCTGCATCTTTAAAATTTCTCCACCCCTTTCTCTCTATATATGTTCTTCAAATTCACGAACCCATTCAATGTCTTGCTCATCCCGTTACATCTCGAATATAAATCTCTAACAATATCGATGATGTTTATAGGTTTATCATCAATGATTGATTTATGTTCTTGTATCTGATGGTAGCGGATTTTAGGGTTGTTGCATTAAATAACAAATATCTAAATAGCGTAAGAATTCCTAATTTGTAAATTTTAGGGTTCTTACTTTATATCAAAATCCATTTTTTTCCGATAGACAAACCAAAGTGTTAAAAAAAATTCCTCATTCAAAAATTCTCTTGAAATTCGTCCTTTTCCTTGTTTTAATACTTGCAAAAAGTTGTTTACATTCAACAAAATCATTTACTTACATAACTAAAAATTATAAACATAAGTACAACCGGAACAAAACATGACAATTTGATTTTTGAAACTTTTCTTCATTAACTTGACAAAGTAATGACAAACTACAAGAAATATTAGTGCTAACATTCAACAAATCATGACAATTTGGATTTTGAAACTGTGTTTTTTTAATTAACTTGACAAATTACGAAAAAAAAAACCAAATCTCAAATAATTATAGCCCTTTTGCCACTTTTGAAACTGTGCTATGGAATCAGAATTCATAACTATTATGCTAGGAGATAGCCGGTCATGGCCCTTTTGCTAAATATTTACATTATATAGCAAATATCTGAATAGTTGTAATAATAATATCATTCATAAAAGTATTATTTATGATAAGTGTTAGAATATTACATTATTACTACTTGCAAAGTTTTTAAATCTTAATAATATTCTTATGAGAATGTAGTGTAAATTATATTCATTCTTAATAATAGTTTTTAGACTACTTTATATAAATGATTATTTATTTACTATTTTTTGATATAAAAAACACAAAAATTAAATTCACGTTTTTTTTTTTATTAATCAATTTGGCTCCCGAAATTACAAAGGAAGTCATTTATGATCAATCATATTAAATTAGGTGGCTACATATGTCATGGACCACACCAATAAATGTGGATATGGAATGCGATAAGAAAACACATGCTCATACTGTCATAGACATGCGTACAAACTTATTTTATTTTATTTTTTTAACCCGCGAATATATTAAAAGTTAAAACTAAATGACCGGACACCTAGCAAGTGGCTAGACGAGGGGACTACAACTACAAACTTAGTTACAAATAAATGTGGATTTTATAAAATCATATGTAATTATTACCAACTCTATTAAAATCAGAGGCGGATCTAATGGAGAACATGGATAGCCCGGGATCTCTTTCAAATTTGTCAGCAGTATAATTTTTTCAAAAATTTTGTTTTATGTTGTTGTGATAACCCTGAAAAAATTTTGGACTACCAAAAAAAATTGTGTTACACCCTTTACTTTGACTCTAACTCTACTACTACCGATTAAAATTCTTGTTTTTTTTTTTTTTTTTTTCATGTTGCTTCTTTAGAAAATGACTAACAGGTTCACTCCCACACTATCATCTTCTTTCTCACCCCTTCACTTGCAACTCAAACCCCCCACATGCATACACATGCTGAACATTAAAAACACACACACTTCATTTGTAGTTTCCAACATTCATCATGTAAATTGAAAAAGTTCAAGAAATTGGCATTGTGATTCATAAAAACGGCAAAGAAGATGAAGTTAGAACACAGAGGTTCATGCACTGAAATAGATAGAGAAAATTTTGTTTTCTTTTTTTCATTGTAAGGTAATAGGAAGGCAAAAAGTTAATTTCACATAGGTTTAGTTATAAGAACCGGTGATGTTACAAAATTTGTACGTGGCGTTAGAAGTAGGGGTGTGCGCGGTGCGGTTTGGTGCGGTTTCGAGTCAAAACCGCAAACCGCACCGCATATGCGGTTTGAATATTTTAGAAACCGCAAACCGCACCACAGATGTTCAAAACCGCATGATGCGGTGCGGTTTGATGCGGGTGGTTTAGTTGCGGTTTGATGTGTTGTTTAACATTAAATCTATCAAAAAATTAAAAACCTGACCGGGTTAAAAAATGATTGCTTTCATTTTATAAAAACAAATACAATTTTCGAGTTAAATCGTTTTTAATAAATTGTGACTCATGTTACTATAGTTTTGTAAGTATCATTGTTATTGTTTTATATTACCGTTATAATTTATATATTCTTGTAAACCATGAGATCTTGATCTAACAGTGATTTAATGTTACGTTATAGATATTTGGTTATTGTAAGAAATATATTTATATACATCATTTCTAAATCGTGATTTGAAGTTATAACAAAATAAAGAAAAAAAAGTATACATAACATGCGGTGCGGTGCGGTTTGAACCGCAGTTTTATAAATACAAACCGCAAACCACACCGCATAGTGCGGTTTGATAAAATGATGAACCGCAAACCGCACCGCGAAATTCTAAACCGCATTATGCGGTGCGATTTGGTGCGGTGTGGGCGGTTTGTGCGGTTTTTTGCACAGCCCTAGTTAGAAGATTCATATTTAAAGATTATAATATACGAAAAGTCCAAGAATTACAAGATTATGTATAAAGTATTTTAGTTGATATTTGATTTACTAAGGAGTAAATTGCAAAAATAATCCTTGTATGTAGCTGAAAATGGCTATTTTGGTCCAACAAAATTTAGACCAGCATCACTAGTACAAAATAGATTTTTTTTTTTTTTTTTTTTTGCCATTTTGGCCTTGAAAATTTTTAGAATAATTTATAAAGACAAGTTTGCCCCTTTTATTTAATTGTTTTTTTAAAGCAAAAATAAAATTACCATCTCTCTCTCTCTCTCTCTCTCTCTCTCTCTCTATATATATATATATATATATATATATATATATATATATATATATATATATATATATATATATATGAGCGGGGATCGGTTTGGGTCAGTTTTGACCCAAAACCATCTTATCGGATTTCAAAAAATTAGAACCCAACCTAAAACCGATGGGTTCGATTTCTAGGTTTTTGGGCTCTTTTTCATTTGGTTTTAGTTTTAAACTCAAACCTAAGGAATCCCAAGTAATTCTTTACAAGATGATAAATTCTTTTATAGAAGTAAAGATGAGGGGTTTTCTAACTAGGGTCAATGTGGGAATAAAATTAGAATCAACATCCCCTCTAATAAATGAAAGTTTTTTTTTGTCATTTGTCACAACCTAAAACCTAAAACATGTTTGATGAATTGCCACTCAAGATGAGGGATTTCAAAAAATTAGAACCAGACCTAAAACTTGTTTGATGAATTGCCACTCAATCAAAATCTTGGCTAGTTCATTCATATCTATAATCAAATCATTCCAGTAGAACACACACACACATCTGAGAATTGTATCCTATGTATTTTTTCATAGCATTAGCTACAAAAGGTTGTAGATATGGAATTATGCCCAACTTGTGGGATGTTGTTGAAGTCTGAGTTGCCAAATTTGGATTTTCCTACCAGATTTTTCTACACCACATGTCCATATGTTAACCAAATAGAGCAAAAGGTAATAAAATTGTCAATTTATCATACTCAATCATGCAATATTGCAACACATTGTTTTTCGTTTTCCTTGTAGTTAAATGCATCTTTTTTTCTTCCCTTTTACAAGTCAAGATCAAAAGAAAGCAACGGGTGGTTAAAAAGGAGATTGACCCCATCATTACCCATGATGACATAAAGAATGCACCTAAAACATATCAAGGTATTTATATGCTTTACAATTGGAATAAATTGATGCACTTTTTCTTTTCGCAACTTTAATTTATAATGTTCTTTGTCTCTTGCAGCTCATTGCCCAAATTGTGGCCACAACAAGGCTGCATACATCCAATTTCAAACAAGGTCAACCGATAAAACCATGACAATAAACTTCACCTGTGAGAAATATGGTAAATGCTGGCATAAGGACTAAAATTCAGACCAATGGAAACCTGCATTTTTTCGCCTCAAATATTGAAACAAAGTGTTTCTATTATACTTTTGCTACTAATGAAATGTAGGTATGATTTTGTTATCTGTTTTACCTTTTTGCTGATAGTTAACTACCTATAGCTAACTCATGTATCTTTGAATAACAAACCAACGGAAACCTACATTCAACCAGGAAGAAACCTTGTTTACAGTTAAGTTAAAAAGATCATCTTCACGACTACCCTAGTAGATTATCAGAAGATATGGTAAAATGTATGGCTGATGCATACCTGATTAAAAAACAATGCTCAAGAGGTGTTATTTCTTCTTATTCTTCTTCTTCCACAACTTCAATGACAATATCAAACTTCTCTTAACTTGTTTTTTAATTGTTCTTACCAACTTTTCCATTCAGGTTCCAATCAAGTTGTAGTTGTGAGAGCTTTCTACAATTGCAAATTTCTTGGATTTTAGGTAATTCTCACATAATATCAAAAAGTTTATATAGAAAAATGATGAAGAATAAAGAGATTTTATGATATAAATGATGCCAAATAGTGATGTACTAACCAAACTATTTTTCACCATTAAATCCCTTGAATAATCATAAAATCATGTAATTCAAATGTAAATCCCAAATGAATCGCATGTGAATCACATGTAATTCAAATATGAATCACATGTAATTCACATGTAAATCACAAGTGAATCACACATGAATTATATATGATTCATATGTAAATCATATATGAATTACATATCATTCACATGTAAATCACAAAAGAATTACATATGAATTACATGTGAATCACATGTAATTCACATATGAATCACATGTAATTCAAAAGTGAATCACACATGAATTATATGTGATTCAAATGTAAATCACATATGAATTACATAGGATTCACATGTAAATCACAAATGAATCACATATGAATTACATGTGAATCACATGTAATTCACATATGAGTCACACATGAACTATATATGATTCACATGTAAATCACATATGAATTACATGTGATTCACATGTAAATCACAAATGAATCACATATGAAGTACATGTGAATCACATATAATTCACATGTAAATCATAAGTGAATCACGCATGAATTATATGTGATTCACATGTATATCGCATATAAATTACATGTGATTCACATGTAAATTACAAATGAATCACATATAAATTACATGTGAATCACATATGAATGACATGTAATTCACATGTAAATCACAATTAAATCACACATTATTTATATGTGATTCACATGTAAATTACATGTGATTCACATGTAAATCACAAATGAATCACATATATGAATCACATATAAATTACATATGAATCACATGTCATTCACATGTAAATCACACATTAATTATATGTAATTCATATGTAAATTACATGTGATTCACATGTAAACCACAAGTGAATTACATATGATTCACATATAAATCACAAGTAAATCATGAATTACATCTATATGCACACATGCATTTTGTGTGAGTGTTCTTCGTTAATTTTTTTTTTAAAATTTGTTCTTAAAAATTTCACATTTGAATCCTAAAAGATACAATCACATGTGAATATCACATTATATAATCATATGTTAATATTACATGATATATACATATGCATTTTTGTGAGTTTTCTTGAATTAATCAATTTTTTCCTTGTAAATTTGGAAGAATCTGTAAAAAATATTGAAGATGTGAAAAGTGATAAACCGAAGAAAATATGGAAATCTCAAATCTTGACACGAAGGCATGATAACATTTTGAAATTTTGTAGCATTTTTTGTTTTTATATTTTATTTTATATTGAATAAAATATTTGTATTATTGTGTTTATAAATTAGCAATAAAAATGAGTTTTTTTAATGATTTACTTATAAATATTATAATATAAGAAATATGCATATACACACCTAAAATGTTGATTTGTTTGGTTAAAAAAATTATAGTTTTTTTTAATATTTTAGTTTTTTTAGATACTTTTTTTAAATTACTGTTTTAAAAAAATGCCGTTTTAAAAAAAAATCAACTTTAAAAAAAAAAAAAAATAAAAAAAAAAAAACAGGTTTTCAAAAAAAAATAAAAAATATGCATCAAAAACTATTATTTTTATAAAAAAAATCTGAAAATTTAATTTATTATGTTAATATTTAGACATTTTTATTGATATTTCCAATAACACAAAAATTTAAACATTAAATAAGATTGGTAAGATAACGTTTATGCCCTTAATGAATTAATTTTGATCTAACGTTTCACCTTTAGTTCTCGGGGTCTCGGGAAACTATGAGTTCTCAACGGATTTCACCCATATATATATATATATATATATATATATATATATATATATATATATATATATATATATATATATATATATATATATATATATATATATATATATATATATATATATATTTCATGAAATTCGGTTCGGTTTGATTTTTCTTGGTTTTTCATTTTATAAAACCGAAACCGACCCAATATTTTGGTTTTAAAAAAAAAATCAAACCCGAACCATTGGTGTCTTTAACGTTTTGGTTTTGTCGGTTTTTATCGGATTTTCGATTTTCGGGTTCGCTTTTGCTCACCCCTACCCATCTTCCACCACTACCAGAAAATATGAATGCAACCACCCCTGTCGGAAAGTATGAATACCACCATCACCGCCGTAAAATATGAACACAACAACCACTAGAAAATATGAATGTCGTTACCACCGCCAATTTAAACCACCACCACCACCTCCTAGAGAACCTTCGATTTAAAAACCTCGATTTTCTAGAGAAGTCAAAAACAAAGCCTCGATTTTCCACTACCACCACCTCATTTAACTCAACTTCGCGTTATCCGATGATGGCTATATGCCATTTCTTTATTTGGTGGTTATCTGGCAATGGCGTTGTTGAAGATCTAACCGATAGCGTTCCAGATCTGCAATGAAATCTTCAAACAAAACCGATGGTGGTGCTCCATATCTACAAACCTTAAACCGGTGAAGGTGAGAGGGAGGTAGTGGCGACAAACTCTACCAGTTGGTTCCATCGGATCGAGGTAAAAAAAGATCGGATTCAGTGGTTTCTTACATTGAAGGATTTTTAAACCCAACGACGTTGCAGATCCGGTTGGACGGTTACTACGAAGGTGGTTCAAATTTACATAATCGGAATTGGTTTGGGTGGTTCGGGGTCGTCGAATGTTTCGCTCTTTTTTTTCTTCTCGGGTGATGTCGTTGTCCGATAATGCAAAGGTTTCGGCTAGAGGTGGTAGTCCGGCGATGGTGAGGTTGACAATCGATGGCGGCCGATAATATTTAAGAGAGAGACACATAAGACGGTGTTTGTGTTTTACAAGAGGCATGTAGATAGGGTAGGGTTACAAGGGATGGAGTTGTATTTTTTTTCCTTTTTTGTTTATGTAACATCCGTTCCGTTTCAAGTATAAATTAATTCCTAATTTTTGTAATTCATTTTGGGTGCCCACGACATGGTGGAGGCTTCACCACAACGTGGCAGTGTCTTTTTGATCACAGGGTTATAATGATCGCCACGACATGGCCATGTATTGTCACGGTGTGTCAGCTATTTTTGGAGAAAACCCTAATTCTTGGGATTTAGGCCCAATTAAAGGACATGATGGTTAGGGTTTCGTGATCATTCAACCTTTATTACTCTCCCAGACTAAGAAACCCTAACCCTAGCCCCCTTTGCATGCTGTAAGCTCGTTTTTGGTACTTTTGTGATATTTGAATGAAGAAGAAGGAAGTGTAGTGCAAGAATCAACAAGCAATCCACCTCTACCCCTTGTGTTTACTATCTGGACCTTTGGTGAGCTTCCTAGTTCCATTCTTGAAAGTGTTATATTCAGAGATCTAAAGGTTTTGGCACATTTTGGACTCTTGGTCGGGTTTGGTAGATTAGAATAAATAAAGTTAGCAACTTTATGACTACTTAATGTCCCTTGAGTAGTATATCTTGTAAATCTATGATGTGTTTATATATATATATATATATATATATATATATATATATATATATATATATATATATATAACACAAGTTTTAAATTTATAAAAATGAATTTATCGCAACTGGACTAACACACACGCTAGGCGGTGAACCTAATCGTGTAATAGTATAGTTGTGGCAAGAACAGGTGTCGAACACAAGGGCAACGGTGGTGAATTAATTTGGAGTTTTTTATTATAGGTTACACTAAACACACTAAAGCAATAAAGAAATGTTTTAATAACTACTTTAAATGCCACTTAACATCAAATATTGATAAACTGACTCGAAGATAAATTTCTTTAGGTACTTTGATATAGATAAATTACATCTCAAATTAATGGCTAACTACCGATACAATGGATATTTATTCATTATTCATCGATTTCAAATATGACTAGTATCATGGTCACGCTACTAATCCTTTGATTTCATCACAATTATTAATTCATTGGTCAAGTGAACAAACAATCATTTAAATCAGTATTTAGTTCGTATTAAGCAAGATTTGATCTTATTTAACTCTAATGGTAATAGGAGTTAAATCATGCATAGAATGATCATCTACTCATGCACACACATTCAAGTTCATTACTTTATTTCCTAACCCTGGGTTTTAGTTAAAACTATAGTCATAATCACAAATGGTCGTTGGACAACTATGATTCAAATTAACACAGCTAGATGGTCACCTAAACTCTATTAATTCAACAATAGGAAACAAAACAACAATCTTTAACACATGTGGATCTTCAATACTCAAACTTGAAAAAATAAATTAAATAAGAATAATCCATCCAAATAATAATTAAACCATAAATTCAAAGATTCATTCAATCATAAACATAAAGTAGAAGGTTTTAACACCTAAATAAGAAAGTAACATATAATAGAATCATAGAGGAATGCTAAACATGGTCATAATAACAAACCACATGTTCGCTCTCCAATCCTTCAGATCTTTGCTCTTGTCAGC